CCCCCACCCCCCCCTTTACACCTGCCCTCACTCACCTCTCAAACGCCCCTATGTCAGTCGCTGTCTCTCCTCAGATCTCTACCTCGTCCCCTCCTGAAAGCTTAACCCGACTTCTGCGTCGACCGCCACTCCCGGCAGCACATTGCGCCTCCTAACCACTCTCCGTGTCAATAAAATCCTCCCGAGACCCTCTTCACGTGCGGTTCTCCGGCCGCTTGTCCAGCTAGGACCCCCCCCCTCCCCGTTTTGGCTGTGGGGTTAACGGAGCTGAGGGGGAGGATTCCCTGACCCCAGTGACTGGTCGGCCCTCCAGGTCCTGCCGATGGATGAGCCGGGGCCGGGCTGGGCGGCCATCAGCCGTGAGTGCCCTGGGACACTGCGGCCCCTCCTGGCTCAGGAACCGGGGACCAGAGACCGGCACCGAGGGGGAGTGGGGGCTCGATACCCACATTCCATTGCAAGACATGTCATCTCGGGGCTCCGAGATGACCCCACTTCCCCCATACCCCCACCCCTTCCCCCTACCCCCAATGGAGGACAGTCACCAGTTGGGTCATCTGACATCCGACAAGTGAGGTACCAGGAACTCCCTTCGAGCTTCCCGGGAGCGCGTTCGGTCATACAACCCCTTCGTGTGGGGTAACGTCTCTGAGCACTTCAGGGGTCGCGGAAAGGAGGGCATTGAACTGGAGTCAGTAACTCGTGGGCTATAAGTGAGGGACGGGAGTCCTCACTGGAGAGAACTCGAGCCCCAAAGTCATAATAAATAATCTTACACCATCTCCCTCTCACCCCCTTCTCACGTTCCCCCCCCACCCGAACACCCCACCACCTCTCTCTCTCTCTCTCTCTCTTCGCACCGTTTCTTTTCCAATTCCAACTCGGACATTCCAGACTCAGAATCGTCTCGCAGGCTAAGACCAGGTGGAACTCCGGGCCTCGGGTGCCTTCGGGACACCCTCCTGACGTGAAAGGTGCTGCTGCGTAAATGTCGACTGCGGTCGCCGTTGAATCGGTCGGGTCCGAAGTGCGATCTTAAGAGCGAGAGCCCAGAATCCCAATTCATCCCCCAGCCGTCGACACTGTCACCCTCGCTCAGTCCATCAGTGAGATCTGAATGGTTTATGTTCCGTGCAAAGCCTTCTCTTTTTTTGGGGGGGCGGGGGTGTGTGGTGGTGGGGGTTGGGGTGAGTGGGGGGAAAGGAGGGAGGAAGTTAGAAGGCTTCAGGGTGCCCACAAACGTCCTGTTACCCCCCCCCCAACACCCGTCACGGAACAAGTCTCCGTAATTCTGAACGCAATCAAATACGCGGTGACCAAAAAAAAAAAAGTCCTGATCATGATAATCCCGGCCTTTTTGACACAGCGCCTCCTCGCGTCTTCGAGACGTCTCAAAGCGCTTCGCAGGGTATACCGTCGCGTGTAGTGACTGCGTGATGATTTGCGACACAATGTCTCATCCGTCCGTATCCGGCGATGGTGATTTTTTTTTTCTTTTTTAAAAGAGAATCGGGGAGATATCACGGTCCCTTCGGTCAAACACCTCCCCCCCCCCCCCACCCAACCCCCGCCGGACACTTGGCAATGAATGAAGTCCTTCGAAATACAATCATCGTTGATTCCGCACGTTCAGAGTCGTGGGGGAGAGAGAGAGAGAGAGAGAAAACGGCGGGGAGGTGGCGGGGGTGGGGTTGAGGGGTTAACCAAACATTGTGGACGGACACCCTGTAGGTCATGTTCAAAGCCTTCTTTTTCGGGATGGGTGGGTGGAGGAAGGCAGGTTTCCCCCATGACACCCGCCACGTACCCTCGTTGGGGAGGAGTGTGTGTGTGTGTGTGTGTCTGTGTTGGGGGGGGGGGGGGGGGTGTTTGTCTTGCTGTAGCTTTGGCTCAAACTTTACAGGTGTAGATCTCCTCTCGCTGTGTGCACTGCTTACACTCCACGTAGCAGCACCAACGCACCTGGCACTGACAGGCCCGGGTGACCACACGACTCTGGGTGTTGTGTCCGCGGCCACAGCAGATGCTGCCGCAGTTCTTGTCCTTGTAGCACTTGCGGGCAGCCGTGCCGGGGGAGTACTTGTTGGGGCGGCAGAAGCTGGGGGAGTCATCGATGTGGACCAGGTCGATGGTCCTGGGTATGTGGCTGTGCTGCAGGGCGGTGGCCGTGGCCGTGGCCTTCCTGGAGGCCACCATCTCGCCCTCTCCGTGGCCTCGTTTCTGGCGCTGCCGATCTTCAGCGAGCCCTCGTACTTGTGCTTCAGGAGCTTGCCGATCTCGTGGAAGGGCAGGAGCTGCCGCCAACAGGTACGGACGGTGCAGGAGCCGGACACACCGTGACACTTACAGGTGGTCTCGACACCGGACTTGATGACCTGCGAGAGAGAGAGAGAGCGAGAGAGAGAGAGAGAGTGAGTGAGTCACCCACCTACGGAGTAGCCGAGGACCTTAAACCCTCTGGTCCCTCACACAGCGTGCAACCGCTCGCTCGCTCGTTCACTCACTCACTCACTCACTCACTCACTCACTCACTCGACAACAACAACAACAGGCGTGGCAAGGGAGGGGGCGGGCGTGGGGGGGGAGCGGTCGAGGCAGAGGGACTGTGGGTGGGGGCAGAGAGAGGCTGAAGGAATGAGTGATGACGGTGGGGACGGGACGGGACGGGCCAGAGGGGACAAGGTGTGGGGTGGGGGGTGGGGGAGTGGGGAGTGTGGTGGGTGGGTTGAGACAGAGAGTTCAAGAGATTTGGGCATAATGGCTGAGTTATCAGATGATTTAACTAGTTATTAATAATACCTACCGTTAATAACTAACGGTATTATTAATTAACGCGGTTACAAATTAATAGGAACGGTTCATATGAATATAACTAACGCCCACAACCAGGTATTAATTACAATTAACGTCAATGAGTAACAGTGGCAATAAATGATTATTATTAATCATTAATATTGCAAATAATAACCTGATGTCTTGGATGACGCCCCTCACGTCTCGGGAGGACAATTCAAAGCTCCTCGCGAGACTGAACTGAACCGGGAGTGCGAGTGACGTTTCATCCGAAAGGACTCTCGACAATTTGGGGCTCTCTCCCCCCCCTCACACCCCCCCACCCCCCTATCACCCCAGTCCTCGCCGGGCTCCACTGGCTCCCTGTCTCGCACATGTTTTCAAACCCTTTCGCGCCCTGGCACCCCCCCACACCCCCCCCCCCCCAACCCAACTCCAACACCCGTTGCCTCCGTTCCACCGCTTTCAGCCCCGACCCCCACACAGAAACTCTTGGAACGCTCTCCCTCCATCCCTCTCTCCGCCTCGCCCCCCCCAACCCTTCCTGCCCCACCACCTTCAGGTCGGGCCCGAAGACCTTTCTCGGGGACCCTAACCTGCGTGAGGGGCTCAAGTGCTTGCGAGCGCGAGCGCCTGAGCGCTTGAGCACTCAAGCGCGTGAGCCGCGGCTGCCCCCGAAATACCTGTCAGGATGACGGAACCAGGAGCGGAGCCGACACGTGTGTCCCCCCCCCGCCCCCCCACCCCACTCCCGCCACCTGGGCTCAGATCAGGGCAGCAATCCAACCCCATGTTCATACAGGAAAAATCTCCCGCTGCCAACCGCAGCTCCTTCCCCACGGGAAGTAAACAGATTTGGCGACGTCAGTATGAGTTCCTCTCTAGGTGTGATTATACGCAGCCACGCACATCATAATCTGGCCCGAGCTGCAGGAAATCATACGCTGGTTTGTGGCAGTCGGCAAGTGTTTCTAACCCCCGTGCGTGTGGACAGGCGGCGCAGTGTCGGGGGGAGCTTCACTCTGCCTCTAACCCCCGAACCTGGGAGCGTGGACGGACGCACGGTGTGGAGGGAGCTTTACTCCCGTCTCTCACGCTCCCTTCTCTTTCCAGACAGTCCACCTGAACAGGCAGACGAGGCTCCTGTTTAACATCGCACCCGAAGGACGGCGCCTTCGACATTGCGGGACCGCTCGCACCCGCCCCCCCCCCCTCCCTCCCACCCCCCACCCCCCAACTCTGCACTGGAGCATCCGCTTAGACTATGAGCTCAAAGTCCTGCTTTGGGGCTTGAACCAATTAACCTTGTGAGCCTGAGAGAGAGAGAGAGAGAGAGAGAGAGGGGGGGGGCGCGAGCCAGGCTGAGAGCAGTGTGTTTACTTGTCCCCAAGGCGTAGAAACGGAGAGAGAGAGAGCGAGAGAGCGAGAGCGAGAGAAAGACTAAAAAAGAGAGCGAAGGAGAGAAGAGAGCGAGACGGAGAGAGAGAGGGGAGAGAGAGAGAGAGAGAGAGAGAGAGTAGGTGAAAGGAAATTAGTTTGAGCGGTGAATGTAATGGAGACCTGAAGTCATGAATCACCTCATTCTCACGCTGGACCAGCCGGGCCGGCAATGACAACACAGCCTGTTAACCAGAATGCGGTCATTGACCGGGCAAAGCTGTGCACACTCACTCCCGCTCGCCTCGGAGACAGGAGGTTCGTGGGTTCGAGCCCCCCGAACGTCTGAGCTCACAGTCCAGGCTGACGGGGGGAGAGAGAGAGAGAGAGAGAGAGAGAGAGTGTGCGTGTGCGAGAGAGAGAGAGAGAGAGAGACGCACTGTCAGAGACTCCGTCCTTCAGATGAGACGTTAAACCTCACTCACGCGCTCCCCGTCTGTGCCCTGTTTCAGGCAGACGTTAAAGACCACCCACCGCGCTGTTGTGGGGGTGGGGGGGGGGGGGGGGGTGGGGTGGAAAAGAGAAGGTAGTTTCGCTCTCTCTCTCTTTTTCTCTCTCTCTCTCTCTCTCTATCGGTTCCCTGGGCCGCAATCCCCCAAATAACACCGAAGCCGTTTGTAGGGAATTTCTTTGCTCGCAAATTGGTGCTGTTTTTTGCCTACGGAATACACAGTCACTACACTTTACGGTAAGATCTTGGGAAGGTCACGGGTCCCACCCCAGAATGATCTGGGGGCGTATTAAAAATAATAATAATAATAATCCTTGCGTTTGATACAGCGCCTTATCACGTTCTCGAGGCGTCTCAAAGCGCTTCACGGGATATACTGTAAAGTGTAGTGACTGTGTATTTTGTTTCGCGGGCGTCCCACAAACAGTCGTGGATGGAGTGACCAATCTGTTCCCTTCCTCCCAAATTAATATTAATAATATAATAAGAAGAACCCTTGCATTTGGTATTGCACCTCATCGCATCGTTGAAGGGTCTCAAAGCGCTTCACAGGATTCAACAACAACAAGTTGCATTTACGTAGCCTCCTTCGCGCCGGGAGGACACCGTAAAGTGTAGTGACTGCGGGTTTTGCGGGCGAACTGCGGCAGGCAGTTCGCACACCGCCACGTCACCGCAAACAGCCGTGAAGTGGGCCAGCGATTCGATCCGGGGGGACTTGCGTGCGATTGGCTGCGATTTGTTTGGCCCGCAAAACACACAGTCACTACGCTGTGCAGCGTAGCCTGCAAAGCGCTCTGAGACGTCTCGAAGACGTGATAAGTTGATAAGTCTGGCGTAGTGGGGAGGGAAGGGGTGGGAGCGCGAGTGAGGTGGCGGTGGGAGGGCGGCGGGGGCGGCGGGGGGTGGTGGGGGGGGAGTGAGCGCTAAGCCAGGAGTGGGAGAGAGGAGAGGCACGAGCGAGCGGGCGAGCGAGCGAGTGAGCGAGCGTCAGCGAAGGAAGCACTTGCTCTCTCTCTCTCTCCCTCTCTCTCTCTCTCTCTCTCTCGGTGATGACGTACTGAGATTGTAACACAAGGCAAAGGCAGAATGAGTCAGGAATGTTATTCCTCCCGACAGATGTGTGAGGATGAAAAATGAAGGCAGAGAGCGAAGGGGGCTCACTTGGGAAGCACTTTACAGGCTGCTCAGTGTTTGAGAGCCTCTGCGAGACCCGCAGCCTTTTGGCCGGCAACCCAACTCCACGTCAGGCCTCTCGCCCGGACCTTATGCTAAGCCTCTGCTTGGCTCCAACCCTCGCGCTCTCGCCTCTGGGCTAGAAGGTCACACACACACACACACACACCCTCACCCACTGAGCGCTCACGGTCCAGGCTGACGCACCAGCGCAGAGCTGGGGGGGGGGGAGGTGGGGTGTGTGGGTGGGGCGGCGGCGGGGGGTGGGGGGTGAGACAGAGACAGAGACACACACACAGAGAGAGAGAGAGAGAGAGAGCAGGGGAATGGGGTTAGAGTAGAGAGCTCCAGTGTAATGGGGTGTGGGGGGGGGGAGAGCGAGCACCAGCGCAAACACGATGGGGGGAGAGAGAGAGAGAGAGAGAGAGAGAGAGGGGGAGAGTAGGGGAATAGGGAAATCTCGGAGCTGTGGCTTTTCTGCTGCGGAGAACAATTCCTGTCTGCAGTCGTGGGTTTTATTAGAGACAGATGCACACTCCGCTCATCTGGAGCCCAAACCCTTCTGGGGATCAAGGCTTCCCTGATCCAATGCAATAATAATAATAATAATCATCGCAGCCCCGACAGAAACTGCGGCAAAATGGCTTCTCGAGACCGTGGCCGTTTGGGCGGGATCTGGCGGGGCGGCAAAACGGCGGCAGCCCTCTCTCTCTCTCTCTCTCTCTCTCTCTCGCACAACGACAACAACAACAGTAACAATAACCGTCCTTGGGCTTGACCCGGCGCCTCTCGGCGTCTCGAAGCGCTCCGCGGGAGATACCGTGAAGCGTGGTGACTTGGGTATTTTGCGTGGGCGGAACGCGGCGGCCAAGGTCTCGAAGGGTCGGGGTGCGTGGGGTGGGGGGGGGGGGGGGTGGGCAAGGAGGGAGCGAGGCCAAGAGATGGAGAGGGAGAGCGAGAGAGAGAGACGGGGAGAAAAGGTACCTTGATGCCCACGTTGGTGTTGTGAAGGTCCACTCGGGCTCTCAGGTCCTTGTTGGACTTCTTCTGGCCGATGAACTCCTTGACGAACTTGTTGCTGTACCGGAGGTTGTCTCCGCAGCCCCCCCACTGCCAGGCCTCGCGGTTCTCCAGATCCGGAGCCTCGTCGCACGTGCAGCGTTCCATACGCCCGGCGCTGCAGGCCTTGGCCACCGCGTGCGTCAGCCCGGCCGAGGAGATAGCGTAGAGGAACGCTGTCTCTTTAAAACCTGAGGGTGAGGCGAAAAAATCGTCATCGTCGTCGTCGTCGTCGTAACGGTAAAACTCACGTAAGTCCAATCAGTGTAAATCATACAATCGCCTAAGACTTTCAGGGTGGTCCAATTGGCGGCCCATGGGCCGCATCCGGCCCCCCAAACCCACCGACGTGAGGACGTCAGGGATTTGGACCCGAGCTGGGGGTCGCGATCAGGAGGGGGTGGAGGGTGGTGGGTGGGGGGGGGTGTGGGGGTGGGTAGGAGGGCGTCCGAGGATGCGTGGGATGGAGTTCCAAAGGGCGGGAGCAGAGAGGCTGAAGGGTGGGGAGGGCCGGGCGGGGGAAGGTGGAGCAAGCCTGAACGGAGGGCGGGGAGAGGTCTACTTGCAGTCACAGAGGTTGGATGGAGCAAAGCCATGGAGGGCTTTGAAGGAGACACAAAAATAGCTGCAGCTCAATGAGGCCATTCCCGCCCTCAGCGCCGTCTAAATTATACACCTGTCCACCTCCCGTTCGTGAGTTAATAATCCGCACGAGTTGGACGCGACTCGAGACTTTACGTAAGTTGAGACGTCTCAAAGCGCTTCTGGGAAGCGTAGTGACTGTGTGCTTTGTGGGCGAATCGCGGCAGCCAATCGCGATCATCTTCGCGGCTTCTTTTTTGCGAGACGTCGCTCTGAGCGTTGGCCTCACGAGACACACAGTCACTACGCTTTGCCGTACAAATCCTGCGAAGTGCTTTGAGACGCCATCCACCCGGAACCCAATTTCCCTGCTCTTTAATAATAATAATAATAATAATAATAATCGTCGGGAGGATGTCTCGAAGCGTTTTACCAGATTTAGTGTGAAGTGTAGTGACTGTGGGTCAAGCTGACGGCCCCACGAACAGCCGTGAAGTGAGCCGGTCACCTTTATCTGGACTGTGAGCTCAGATTCCCCTAACGTGGGGTTTGAACCCACAACCTCCTCGAATCGTAGACTCTTTCAGCACAGAAGTCCCCTCGCCTCGCCCCCTCCCACGCCTCGCCCTCTCCCTCGCCTCGCCCCCTCCCTCGCCCTCTCCCTCGCCTCACCCCCTCCCTCGCCTCACCCCCTCCCTCGCCCCCTCCATCACCTCCTCCAAAGCCCGTCTCAAGACCCTCTTCTTCGACCGCGCCTTCAGCCACCCTCCCCACCCCCCCCCCCCCCCCCACCGAACCCTCCCGGCCCTCCACCCTCTCCTGAGCCCAGCCCCCAGCCCCAGCCCCCATCCCCCAGCTCGGGGCACATCCCTGACCGTCCGGCGCCCCGGGAGCGTCCTCCCGACTCTTCCCGAAACGCCCTCAGACAAAGTCCCCGAACCCCTGACGCAAGTGGCCGGTGGGCGGCTTCGCGCCCGCGGGACACCAGCTGTGGCCAAAATGGCCGCCCTCGCACCACCTTTGAGGGTTTTGAGGCCCGAGGGTGCGGCGCGCGGGCGCGGGCGGGCGCGGGCGGGCGCGACTGACCTCTCTTGAGAAGGTTGCTGCGGTAACGACCCTCCAGGGTGCAGTTCCACCTCTCGAAGTGGAACTGGTAGCGGCACTCCAGGGCGGACATGCTGATGGCCTCTATGAGGGTCTCGGCCACCCCGGGGTCCCGCCGACACATGCGTCGCTGTTTCCTCTCCAGCTTCAGCCGGTCGCAGGCCTTGAAGTGCGCCTTGCCCTGCGCCAGACCCGACTCGTGGCTCAAAGGGGGGATGGTGAGTGGTTCATGACCTGTGAGTCTGAGAGAGAAGCACCGGGGAGGGGGACGGGGTCGGGGGACGGGACGGGGGGGGGGGGGGGAACGGGGTTATCAGGGCGGTCACACAATTCCCTGCACCCACGATCGACCCGCAATCCCTGACCTTCCCCACCTGCCCCTCTATTTGCCCGGCGGTCAGTAGGGACCCGGTTAAGTCGGTTGGTGGGGGGTGGGAGGTGCGGGGGTGGGGGGGGTAACTGCCGCCTTTGGCCCACAAAACACCCCCCCCCATCCCCACCCCCACCCCCCCCCACCCCACCCCAGCGATGTATTGGAGCGACAGCTGAATCCTGAGATGGGGGTTTTGAACCCACAACCTTCTGACTCACATTATTATTATTATTTTTATTAACATTATTATGACCGTCATAAGGAAAACTTGCCTAAGGTTTCGCCCGGGTCCTCTCACTTCCCAGGCGGGCGCTCTTAACCACTGCGCTTACGGGGGGGACTCCTTAATACCCCGTAAAGTCCCTCTTTCAGACATATTTTCATTGCATCAAAGACCAGGATTATTTACAATGTTATTTTAAGCCGTGTGCTAATTATCACGTTGAAACGGTTATGAAACGGCGGGTTTTCCCGCCCCCCCCCCCCACCACCTCCCCCCCCCCCCCCCCCCGCCGCCCCATATTTCAGGGGGACCTCCTATGAGGGATATCGCTGTGTAAATCTCTGCTTAGCTTCAACTTAGCTGAATTTTCTGGTAACGAAAACAGTGTGTATTTAATTTAAGGCCGTCTGAAGTTCAGATTTTATTTATTGTTTCGGAGTTTGGGATGGGGGGGGGGGGGTGTGGGGGGGGTGCCAGGGCGCGAAAGGGTTTGAAAACATGTGCGAGACAGGGAGCCAGTGGAGCCCGGCGAGGACTGGGGTGATAGGGGGGTGGGGGGGTGTGAGGGGGGGGGGAGAGAGCCCCAAATTGTCGAGAGTCCTTTCGGATGAAACGTCACTCGCACTCCCGGTTCAGTTCAGTCTCGCGAGGAGCTTTGAATTGTCCTCCCGAGACGTGAGGGGCGTCATCCAAGACATCAGGTTATTATTTGCAATATTAATGATTAATAATAATCATTTATTGCCACTGTTACTCATTGACGTTAATTGTAATTAATACCTGGTTGTGGGCGTTAGTTATATTCATATGAACCGTTCCTATTAATTTGTAACCGCGTTAATTAATAATACCGTTAGTTATTAACGGTAGGTATTATTAATAACTAGTTAAATCATCTGATAACTCAGCCATTATGCCCAAATCTCTTGAACTCTCTGTCTCAACCCACCCACCACACTCCCCACTCCCCCCACCCCCCACCCCACACCTTGTCCCCTCTGGCCCGTCCCGTCCCGTCCCCACCGTCATCACTCATTCCTTCAGCCTCTCTCTGCCCCCACCCACAGTCCCTCTGCCTCGACCGCTCCCCCCCCACGCCCGCCCCCTCCCTTGCCACGCCTGTTGTTGTTGTTGTCGAGTGAGTGAGTGAGTGAGTGAGTGAACGAGCGAGCGAGCGGTTGCACGCTGTGTGAGGGACCAGAGGGTTTAAGGTCCTCGGCTACTCCGTAGGTGGGTGACTCACTCACTCTCTCTCTCTCTCTCGCTCTCTCTCTCTCTCGCAGGTCATCAAGTCCGGTGTCGAGACCACCTGTAAGTGTCACGGTGTGTCCGGCTCCTGCACCGTCCGTACCTGTTGGCGGCAGCTCCTGCCCTTCCACGAGATCGGCAAGCTCCTGAAGCACAAGTACGAGGGCTCGCTGAAGATCGGCAGCGCCAGAAACGAGGCCACGGGAGAGGGCGAGATGGTGGCCTCCAGGAAGGCCACGGCCACGGCCACCGCCCTGCAGCACAGCCACATACCCAGGACCATCGACCTGGTCCACATCGATGACTCCCCCAGCTTCTGCCGCCCCAACAAGTACTCCCCCGGCACGGCTGCCCGCAAGTGCTACAAGGACAAGAACTGCGGCAGCATCTGCTGTGGCCGCGGACACAACACCCAGAGTCGTGTGGTCACCCGGGCCTGTCAGTGCCAGGTGCGTTGGTGCTGCTACGTGGAGTGTAAGCAGTGCACACAGCGAGAGGAGATCTACACCTGTAAAGTTTGAGCCAAAGCTACAGCAAGACAAACACCCCCCCACTCCCCCCCCCCCCAACACAGACACACACACACACACACACTCCCTCCCCAACGAGGGTACGTGGCGGGTGTCATGGGGGAAACCTGCCTTCCTCCACCCACCCATCCCGAAAAAGAAGGCTTTGAACATGACCTACAGGGTGTCCGTCCACAATGTTTGGTTAACCCCTCAACCCCACCCCCGCCACCTCCCCGCCGTTTTCTCTCTCTCTCTCTCTCTCTCCCCCCCACGACTCTGAACGTGCGGAATCAACGATGATTGTATTTCGAAGGACTTCATTCATTGCCAAGTGTCCGGCGGGGGGTTGGGGTGGGGGGGGGGGGCGGGGAGGTGTTTGACCGAAGGGACCGTGATATCTCCCCGATTCTCTTTTAAAACAAGAAAAAAAAAATCACCATCGCCGGATACGGACGGATGAGACATTGTGTCGCAAATCATCACGCAGTCACTACACGCGACGGTATACCCTGCGAAGCGCTTTGAGACGTCTCGAAGACGCGAGGAGGCGCTGTGTCAAAAAGGCCGGGATTATCATGATCAGGACTTTTTTTTTTTTGGTCACCGCGTATTTGATTGCGTTCAGAATTACGGAGACTTGTTCCGTGACGGGTGTTGGGGGGGGGGTAACAGGACGTTTGTGGGCACCCTGAAGCCTTCTAACTTCCTCCCTCCTTTCCCCCCACTCACCCCAACCCCCCACCACCACACACCCCCCGCCCCCCCAAAAAAAGAGAAGGCTTTGCACGGAACATAAACCATTCAGATCTCACTGATGGACTGAGCGAGGGTGACAGTGTCGACGGCTGGGGGATGAATTGGGATTCTGGGCTCTCGCTCTTAAGATCGCACTTCGGACCCGACCGATTCAACGGCGACCGCAGTCGACATTTACGCAGCAGCACCTTTCACGTCAGGAGGGTGTCCCGAAGGCACCCGAGGCCCGGAGTTCCACCTGGTCTTAGCCTGCGAGACGATTCTGAGTCTGGAATGTCCGAGTTGGAATTGGAAAAGAAACGGTGCGAAGAGAGAGAGAGAGAGAGAGAGGTGGTGGGGTGTTCGGGTGGGGGGGGAACGTGAGAAGGGGGTGAGAGGGAGATGGTGTAAGATTATTTATTATGACTTTGGGGCTCGAGTTCTCTCCAGTGAGGACTCCCGTCCCTCACTTATAGCCCACGAGTTACTGACTCCAGTTCAATGCCCTCCTTTCCGCGACCCCTGAAGTGCTCAGAGACGTTACCCCACACGAAGGGGTTGTATGACCGAACGCGCTCCCGGGAAGCTCGAAGGGAGTTCCTGGTACCTCACTTGTCGGATGTCAGATGACCCAACTGGTGACTGTCCTCCATTGGGGGTAGGGGGAAGGGGTGGGGGTATGGGGGAAGTGGGGTCATCTCGGAGCCCCGAGATGACATGTCTTGCAATGGAATGTGGGTATCGAGCCCCCACTCCCCCTCGGTGCCGGTCTCTGGTCCCCGGTTCCTGAGCCAGGAGGGGCCGCAGTGTCCCAGGGCACTCACGGCTGATGGCCGCCCAGCCCGGCCCCGGCTCATCCATCGGCAGGACCTGGAAGGGCCGACCATTCACTGGGGTCAGGGAATCCTCCGCCTCAGCTCCCGTTAACCCCACAGCCAAAACGGGGAGGGGGGGGGGTCCTAGCTGGACAAGCGGCCGGAGAACCGCACGTGAAGAGGGTCTCGGGAGGATTTTATTGACACGGAGAGTGGTTAGGAGGCGCAATGTGCTGCCGGGAGTGGCGGTCGACGCAGAAGTCGGGTTAAGCTTTCAGGAGGGGACGAGGTAGAGATCTGAGGAGAGACAGCGACTGACATAGGGGCGTTTGAGAGGTGAGTGAGGGCAGGTGTAAAGGGGGGGGGGGGGGGGTTGATGCGGGAGGGAGGACAAGGCAGGGCAATGGTACTGAAAGGTTGGCTCTGTCAAAGGCCACAGACGCAGACACGATGGGCCGAATGGCCTCCTTCTGGGCTGTCATTTGCGCTGTTTCTCTGTTATTTGTTGTCTTGTCACTTAAATCGACCGGAGATGCTGGTGCCTGGGGTGACAGACAGCATCTGTCGGGTCTGATTAAGTCCCTCGCGCTCTCAGAATTTCCCCTCCCTCACCCCCCTCCTCCACATCGGGAACTTTCAGCTCACATTAGCCACTAGGCTGACGTTCCAGTGTAGTAGTGGGGGGGGTGGGGGGTGGCGGGAAGAGTTGGGTCTGCGTCGAAGGAGGTGTCGTCCTTTGGATGAGACGTTAAACCAAAATCCCGTCTGTGCCCCGATCGGTCGGACGTTAAAGATCGTCGATGCTAATCCCGGGCTTCATTTTGGAAGCCAATTAATTGTGTGTTTTAAAAAGAAGAAGGAAGAGAACTTTGCCGACTAACAAACTAACGTTTGATCGAATCCTGCGTCGCCTTAAACCCTCGGGGCTGGGAGCTGGGGCAAGGTCGAATTCCGGGGGCTTCGGAGGAGGGAGGGAGGGAGGGGTGGGTGGGGAGGGGAGGGGTGGGGGGGCGGAAAGGCGAGACTTAGATGTGTTCGAGGGTTTGGTTGGTTCGAAGCTTCAGTCCGCGTGACAATCGCCTAACGTCGATCATCTTAACATGTGGGATTTCTTAACGGGATTTCTCAACGAGAAACCCGAGTGACGTGGCTGGGGGTGTGCGTGTGTGCGCGCGTGTGTGTGTGTGTGAGGGGTGGTGGGGTGGGGTGGGGTGGGGGGGCGCGGGGGATAAGGGGGGTACTCTGTACTCCTAATTTCTAAAGTTCTGGAGGGAGGGAGCAAGAGAGAGAGATGTTGGGATTGCACAGTCCTTCGGCACATCGCGCTCCGGGAATGAAAGTCGGGGAAAGTTGCGTGTGTGTGTGCGCGCGTGTGCGTGCGCGCGCGTGTGCGTGTGCGTGCGCGCGCGTGTGCGTGCGTGTTACGCGTGAGCGAGAACGATTTAAACCATCGCAAAGCAGGGACTCGAAATCCGAAGCAGAGAGAGGGGGGGAGTTAGCGACTGCCGTGGAGGTGTTGGAGAATCGAGTACTTATTGTACTTTTAACGATTTTAAAAATCCTTTTGGTCGCCCCCACACCCTCCTCCCCCCCCCCCCCACCGCGCCCCACCCCACCCCGCCCCACCCCAACCCCCCACCCCACTCCCACCACCCACCCTATGTAATGCCCAAATCAAGACACTCTGCCTTGTCATTAGAGAGACAGTAAGACGTAGAAGAAGATTCCTAAGGTGTGAGTTAGCGCGTGAAAGAGAGAGAGCGAGAGACGGAGTGAGCGCGTGTGAGAGAATGAGTGCTGGTAAGTGTGCGCGCGCGCGCGCGAGAGAGAGAGAGAGAGAGAGAGAGTGTGTTTGGGACGTCCTCCCGACGTGAAAGGCGTTATCCAAGTGTAATTTGTTGTCGTCGAATGTGTGGTGTGTGTGTGGGAGAGACGGGAGGGAGAGCGTGTGTGTGTGTGTGCGCGCGATTTGTGAGTGAGAGAGTGAGTGAGTATTGCGAGAGGATGATCGCGCGTGAGAGAGAGAGAGAGAGAGAGAGGAAAAGAGAGGGCGACGAGAGCCAGAAAGGAAGTGAGTCTGAATGCGGAGGAGAGAGTGAGTGTGCGAGCGAGCGAGCGAGCGAGCGAGAAAGAGAGAGGGGTCATTTAAGCAAATCCTCGCACTGAATTTCCTGTAATTATTTAAATATATTGTACTATTTAATATGGATATTTTGCTCTTGTAAATTGTAAATACTGAGGTTCTCTTGTGCTCCTGTGGTAACAGATATATTAGTAAATCAGGCACATATATACTTTATACCGACAGAAAGGAGTGCAAGGACCGCCGTCCCACCATCTCGCTCGGGTGGCACTAACTTAACCTCTGGATGAGATTCCAGCCAGTATCTCACTCTGTGGTGTGGGTGGGAGTGAGGGGTGGGGAGGGTGTTATTCTGTCCGCATGTACTTCCCCAACACCCCCCCCCACCCCCCACTGCTCACCCAACCCCCCCCCCCCCTTCCTCCCCCTCCCTGGGTTAGATTGCAATCCGTGACTCCCACCATCACCAAATCGGTGCTTTCCGCCCATCTCCGAACCCCTCCCCAGATTGCCCACCCGACTTTTCCCTTCCTTAAGCCCCCACACCCACACCATTCTACCCCACCCCCTCCCACCGACCCACCCACCCACCCACTCACCCACCCTCCGCCCACCCCCGTCACGAAGCCCGTCTGGTTCTCCCAAACGAGTCCAGGCCCACGACCACCCTTCCTTGGTTACCGTCCATTAATTCCCCCCCCCCCCCCCACCCCAACCCCGGGTAAAGAAATATTTCCTGATGCCCGCCCTGAAATTAACAATAATAATAATTAACAGGCGTTAATCAATGAATTGATCGAAAGTGACCAATTTATGATGATTATCTTTCTCTGAAGGGCTTATTGCCCCCCGGGGAAAGCGACCCGGCACTCGACCGTAAACAGCCGGGTTCCTACTCACTGCTGGAGGCGTGCGGAGTGAGGGAACTCGCCCGGGAATCGAACCCGGGCCCTCTCGCTCTAACCACTGAGCTACAGGACTCCAAATTGCCCCATTTCCTCTCGTCCTGCGGCCCTGACGTACCCGAGAGCATCGTCCTGTCTCTCAATACCCATCGGGACAAATGCCTGTCCTACTGTAATTGCCAGACACCCGCCCCAATTTGGTTGGATTTCCCTTCCAACGCCCCGAGGCCGGTCTGGCCCTAACCCCCCTCCCACCCGCCCGCCCTCCCGCCCACCCACCCGGCTTACGGTCCCATATAAACCAACCCCCCCTCCCCCCCCTCCCCTTCATCCCAGCGAGAGTCCACCCGCGGAGAGACGAAGAGGTGGACCGCGACCCACTTGCGGTCGGTGGCGCCAACGAATCCGATTACTTTTCACACGTATTGTTCGGGGGGGAGAGGGAGGGAAGGGAGGGAGGGAGGGAGGGGGAGTTTGGGAGTGGGGGGGGGGGTGG